AGAAATTAGTAAACAGATCTACAAAACGTGATTATTTCAGAGACTAAAAAGCCATTGGGAGGATATTTTTTTTTAATTTTTTTAAGATCTCGGCTCACTACAACCTCCCCCTCCAAGGTTCAAGCAATTCCCCTGCCTCAGCCTCCTAAGCAGCTGGGATTACAGGCACCCACTACCACGTGTAGCTAATTTTGTATTTTTTTGTAGAGACAGGGTTTCACCGTGTTTGCTAGGCTGGTCTTGAACTCTTGTCCTCAAGCTGTCAGCCTTCTAAAGTACTGAGACTGCAGCCATGAGTCACTTCACCAGCCTGGAAGGACATGTTTAAATGACAGGTACCAAGTTTGTGGGTTCCAAGGTTAGGTAGGACAGGCTACCACTTAGCCAGGCTCAGGCAGGAAGGACCCTCAGAAGAGGTAACCTTGGAACCAAGACTTGAAGGAAAAGAGGAAGTGAGCCTTGGAAATACCTGGGTCCGCCAGAAGGCACAGCCCGTGCAAAGGCCCAGGGGCAGGACAACAACTGGCGTGTTGGAGGAACAGCGAGGAGGAGCAGAGTGAGCAAGGGAAAGAAAGGGAAGAAGAGAGGGCAGGGAGGGGATGGGGCAGGTTGTACCTGGTCTGGTAAGACATGGGGAGGACTCAGGCTTTGACCCTGTGAGATGTGGGAGCCATGGAGGGTTGTGGACGGAGAAGGGAAGGGATGGGATGTGACCCAGGTGCTCAAAAGCACCCTCTGGTGGCTGCTGCTGGGTGAACATACTGTGGGGATTGAGGGCAGGAGCTGGGGTCCAGGTGGGGGTGACTGTGTTGGCTCCAGTGAGTGATGCTGGAGACTGGACCAAGAAACCACTGAGTGGGAATGCTGTGATCACATACTAGGTGCATTTTTTTTTTTTTTTTTTTTGAGAAGGGGTCTCGCTCTGTCACCCAGGCTGGAGTGCAATGGCATGATCTCGGCTCACTGCAACCTCTGCCTCCCAGGTTCAAGCAATTCTTCTGCCTCAGCCACCTGAGTAGCTGGGATTACAGGCACACACCACCGTGCTGGACTAATTTTTGTATTTTTGTAGAGACAGAGCTTCTGCATGTTGGCCAGGATGGTCTTGAATTCCTGACCTCAGATGATGGCCCGCCTCTGCCTGCCGAAGTGCAGGGATTATAGGCGTGAGCCACCACACCCAGCCAGCTAGGACTTTCTGAGCAAGAATGGGGGCACTGAGGGGGCAGGGGCATAAACTGGGAATGTCCTAGCCAAAGCCAGGTATATGGTCACCTTAGCTCAAAAGAGAATTGGAGGCTAGGCATGGTGGCTCATGCCTGTAATCCCAGCACTTTGGGAGGCCAGGGCCAGAGGATCACTTCAGTTCATGAATTTGAGACCAGCCTGGCCATCATGGTGAAACCCGTCTCTACTAAAAATACAAAATTTAGCCACGCATGGTGGCGCACCTGTAATCCCAGCTGCTCGGGAGGTGGAGGCACCAAAAACGATCGAACACGGGAGGTGGACGTTGGAGTGAGCTGAGATTGTGCCGTTGCACTCCGGCCTGGGGAACGGTGGGAGACTATCTCTAAACAAAACAAAAAGATAATTGGAGAAGAGAAAGTGGAGCTGGAGAATGAGGACATCTCATTATAGTCAATGGGTTTTGCTCTAAGGAGAAACAGACATGTAAATGGGCAACATTATGATCAAATTGTAGCAACAGGGATTTCCTGGCATTGGAAATCCAACAATAGGGGATTGGTTAATTAGTTGGAATTCATCAAACAATGGCTAATCCCTCTCTTGTGTCATAGTTCTACCCCTCCAAAAGGTAAGTTAGAATCCTAACCCCTGGCATCTAAAGAACATGACCCTATTTGGAGATAAGGTCTTCACAAAGGCAGGGAAGTTAAAGTGAGGTCGTTAGGGTGGACTGTCGGCTAGTGGCATGGATATCCTCATAAAAAGGGAACATGGGCTTGGAGCGGCAGCTCGAGTCTGTAATCCCAGCATTTTGGGAGGCCAAGGCGGGTGGATCACCTGGGGTTAGGAGTTCAAGGCCAGCCTGGCCAACATGGTGAAACTGTCCCTACAAAAAATTAGCTGGATGTGGTGGTGGAAGCCTGTAATCCCAGCTACTCGGGGGGCTGAGGCAGGAGAATTGCTTGAATCCAGAAGGCGGAGGTTGCGGTGAGCCGAGATTGCGCATTGCACTCCAGCCTGAGCGACAAGAGAGAGACTCCGTCTCAAACAATCAAAAATAAAATCAAAACCAAAACCAAACAAAAAAACCCAGAAGAGTACCATTATGATAGAGAGGTTTTTTTGGTTGTTGTTTTCTAAGACGGAGTCTTGCTCTGTCGCCCAGGCTGGAGTGCCATGATATGATCTTGGCTCACCACAACCTCTGCCTCCCAGGTTCAAGCAGTTCGTCTGTCTCAGCCTCCCAGGTAGCTGGGATTACAGGCATCCGCCACCAAGCCTGGCTAATTTTTTGTAGTTTTAGTAGAGATGAATTTTCACCACGTTGGCCAGGCTGGTTTCAAACTCCTGACCTCAAGTGATCTGCCCGCCTCAGCATCCCAAAGTGCTAGGATTATAGGTGTGAGTCACTGTGCCTGGCCTAGAATACATTCTTAGTGTTGTGAGTTTTAATATATCTACTTTTAAAGTTTCAATATGTTTTCAACAGCGTTCTGAGGGAAATAACCATTAAAATACATAAAAACAGGCCAGGCATGGTGGCTCAGCCTTGTAATCCTAGCACTTTGGGAAGCCAAGTTGGGAGGATCTCTGGAGCGCAGGAGTTTGAGATCAGCTTGGGAAAGATAGCGAGACCTCATCTCTACTAAAATTTTTAAAAAATTAGCCAGGCTTGGTGGCACGCACCTGTGGTCCCAGCTATGCGGGAGGCTGTGGTGGAAGGATTCCGTGATCCCAGGGGGTCAAGACTGCGGTGAGCTGTGATTGCACCACTGCACTCCAGCCCAAGTGACAGAGTGAGACCCTGTCTCAAGAACACCCAAAACCAAACCCCTCAAAACACATAAAAACAGGCATAAAGAGGCCTTGCCAAACTCCAAGAGTTTGGCAAATCACTACTAAAACCTGTCTCGATGGAAACTTTTGACAATTTGTTCATGATGGAGTTATTTGCCAGTAATTAATTTTTAAAATAATATTATGGCAGGGCGTGGTGTTCAGGCCTATAATCCCAGCACTTTGGGAAGCGGAGATGAGCAGATCACTTGATTTCAGAGTTCAAGACCAGCCTGGCCAACCTGGCGAAATCCCGTCTCTGTAAAAAATACAAAAATTAGCCGGGCGTAGTAGCTTATGCCTGTAATCCCAGTTACTAGGGAGGCTGAGGCATGAGAATAGCTTGAATGTGGGAGGTGGAGGTTGCAATTGTTCAAGATCGTGCCACTGCACTCCAGCCTGGACAACAGAGAGAGAGAAAAAAAGTATTGAAATATTGTTTATCATGATTATTGAGAGTTTTGGGGCACCTCTTTAATTTTTGCACCTGGTACCAGTGCCTTACAATGCCTTAGTCTCCTTACCCTAATCCCAGCCTGGCAGGAGTGAGCATGTGTGGAATTTTACAGCAATCTGATCCTAATTTCTTGCCATCATACCCCCACCCCTTCTACTGTCTCTTTAAGAAAGAGGCTGGTCATGGTAGCAAATTCCTGTAATCCCAGCCCTCTGGGAGGCTGAGGCAGGCGGATCTCTTGAGGTCAGGAGTTCAAGACCAGCCTGATCAACATGGAGAAACTCCATGTCTACTAAAAATACAAAATTAGCCGATCGTGATGGCACATGTCTGTAATCACAGCTACTTGGGAGGCTGAGGCAGGAGGATCACTTGAACCTGGAAGGTGGAGGTCCGGCCTCAGAAAGCTCTTTCACAGAGTAGTTGGGGTTGGGTGCACTGGCTCATGACTGTAATCCCAGCACTTTGGGAGGCTGAGGGGTCCAGATCATGTTCGGTCACGAGTTTGAGACCAGCCTAAGCAACATAGTGCAGGCCCTCGTATAAGTCACCGTCTCTACCAGGCACATGTTAAAAAATTTAGCCAGGCGAGGTGGTCCATGCCTGTGGTCAAGGTATTCCGGAGGCTGAGGTGGGAGAATTGCTTGAGCCCGAGGAGTTGGAGGCTGGAGTGAGGGATGATCGTACCACTGCACTCCAGCCTGGGCTTCGGATCGAGACTCTCTCTCTTAAAAAAAAAAAAAAAAAAAAAGTAGTTTGATGATCTAAAGCAAAACGGCTAATATCAAACATCAAGTACAGATTTTATCTATGAGATGAACTAAGAAAAAGTTCATTTGACCCCAGGATGGGTTTGTGGGCCATTTGACTTGCATTGTTTTAAATGGAGGGTGGACTGATGATAAAGTAATAAACTTACGTGTGTGTGTGTGTGTGTGTGTGT